ATATTTATACCTTTACAACAAGATAAAATTACCTCGAAAACATCATTGATACTATCTAATAGGTCTTGTTCTCGATTACTTAAATGCGGCACATATTTGGGGTTGCAAAGAGGTTCAAGGATGCAGCCAAGGCAATCCAATAAAGACTCGATATGCGGTTTGTAGCTGTTCCGTGACAGATCATCATACTGTGTCAAGATGCCATGAATGTTTAAGAATATTTGCATTAAATTATGAGTGCTTTGTGTAGGAAGTATCGTGCTTTCATCATCATCCTCGTCATTATCCTGTAACTCTGTTGTATCTTTTCTAGGCAACAATGCTAGAAATGCCTCTGTTGTGGCTTTTATAAGATTTTGTTCGACAAAAAGTTGTTCAAACGTAGGCAATGGATCCAAACGGTCAAGATCATCGCCCTCTTTCGTTGGGGGCTTTTGCGGATTAGGTTCCACTAAAGCAAATTTTGCCAGTATTGCGTTTAGTGTTTCAATTGTCTGGCGTAACAATTGCTCATTTATAGAGTTGTTTAATATAAAGGTAATATTTTTAACGAAATCCGGACAAGTACAAATGCGTTGATACCACTGGAGAGCTGCTACACGATCTGCATGTATAAGTACAACAGAAAGAAGACGTGTGAGCTGCAAAAGCGTCAGCGAGTCGGAGCAACTTGTTAATCCGAGGAGTATTTGAACTAGATTGTTATTCTCAACAAGTGCTTCTCGTGCTTCTTTAAAATTGCACATGTTACCCAAAATTCCCACCAGAATTTCTACTAAACGCTTGTCCTCCGTTGCATTGATGCAATGGGCGAAGAGCTCCAGCACATTATGTTCTAAAAGCAAGAGTACAACATCTTCTTCAATCGTCATGTCCCAAACTGAGCATAAATCGTTTTCAAAGCATTCATTTTCGGCGAGTTCTTTTTCTACCTTCGTAAGTTTTAGTAATGTTGAAAGAACAAAACGTTCACTGTACAATGTATTGCCTATAGCATCACCTCGCATGCGAGTCAAATCCTCATCAACGTGCTCACTTCCATCGGGATGAACCGAAGGATTACAAGAACCTACGTGAATTTGGGCTTCGCAGTCTTCCGATTTATTTGCTTTATTAACGCCGGCTCTAATTTTTTCCGATGGCTCAGCCGGATTTTCCGAAGTGCCCTGATTTTCCATCGAGGATCGTTTCTAATTTTTCTTTCTACATATATAAACAAAAATAACATAAAAGCAAAAAAAAACACTTTAGCCACTGATAAAGATATTTTTTTGGGTTACCCTGTGTGATAAAAAGCAACAGGTTTGTTTCTTGACAATTAATTAAAGTCATAAACCATGTAAAACTCGGTAAGTTTACGAGCCTGTAATGGGAACGCGCCCTCTGCGAAAAGGTGTAGTTAGGTTACTGTTTGACAGATCAATCAGGATTTTGTCAAGCAATTTTTGTTTCTTAGCATTTTCCATATCATCCCGCCATCTTGTCTCTATCACTCTTAGGTAAAATACGATTCAAAATGGCGAAAATTAGCAAAAAAAACTTAAGTCAATACAGTTAGTGGATGAAATTCATTCATTTTTTTCGATTATTTTTTTTTTTAATTTATTCTCATTATTTCATCATACATTTTAGTATAACAATTTTCGCCCCTCAGCAACACTGAAGTTGATGAGGTCGTTTGCGCATCAAATTTACCTCGTGATTTTAGGAGGGGCTCGTAAATAGTGCTAAATTCAAATTTTGATAGTTCTTTTACGAGGTTGGCGAGGCTATTATGAGTTTAAGGGAAGACCCTATTGTGTTTATGCGGCCAATTTTAACTTAAATTCATGGAATGATTTTGTGAATTGGCCTACGTATAAACATAGTATATGTCCCGTGACCCAACTGACGTTAACCCCTCATTAGTATAAATATTAAGATTTTTGTATTGCAATCGATAGTTCATCGAACAGTAACGTCCATTTTTAACGTTTTTTCGTTAGCCACGCAGTAATAAATTCAATAAAATAATTTTACAATTTTTACCAAAGAACGTTCTTTCTACGTTATTTGCCTTAAGTAAAGTTCTCTGCTTGTGATCCAAGGAGAATTTATAAATCCGCCTTGCTGTGCGTCCCTGCTTTAAAAACTATTCGTTTTGACACCCTGTTTTCCATGCCATATTCAATTCACACATTTAGCAACTAAACTATAAATTTGACCTCAATGAAAAAAAGTATTTGCAAAAATTTCGTGTTCTGTTATAAATGCTGGTGAAATGTCTGTTGTAATTGAAACCACGATAGGTGATATTACCGTCGATCTTTTTGTGGACGAGCGTCCGATTGCTTGCTTAAACTTCATTAAGCTTTGCAAAATTAAGTACTATAATTTTAATTTATTCCACACCATCGAACGCGGTTTCATTGCGCAGACCGGTGATCCTACTGGTGCGGGAAACGGCGGTAGCTCTATTTGGGGCCAGCTCGATGGAACTGAAAAACGATTTTTTGAAACTGAAACAATGCCAAAGATTTATCATGAATCTGCTGGACTACTATCACTTGTGTCTGCGGGAAAAAAATTAGTTGGATCGCAATTTTTCTTTACATTGGCGCCAAATTTATCTTCACTGGATGGCACACATTGCGTTATTGGCGAAGTAGTTGAAGGTAAGCAGTAATTAAAAAAAAAAAATTTTCAATGCATTCATTAATTTCACTTGCAGGTCACGAAATATTAAGGAAATTGAATGAGACTATTGTCGATGAGAACTTTCGTCCATATCAAGACATACGTATAACCCATACAGTCATATTAGAGGATCCTTTCCCAGATCCACGTAATTTAAAGTTACCAAGTCGTTCGCCATCGCCAAATCCCCAACGCTTTCAAAATGGTCGTATTGCAGCAGACGAAGATATTGACGATACGGATGGGAAAACAGCCGAAGAGTTACAGGAAATGCTTTCAGAGCGGGAAGCAAAAGCTCGTGCCACCATCCTTGAGATTGTTGGAGACTTACCCGACGCAGAAATGGCACCACCTGAAAATGTACTCTTTGTTTGTAAATTGAATCCAGTAACAACAGACGATGATTTAGAAATCATATTTAGCCGTTTCGGTAAGGTAAAAAGTTGTGAAGTTATTCGTGATAGAAAAACCGGCGACTCTTTGCAGTATGCATTTGTTGAATTTGAGGATCAGAAATCGTGTGAAGCGGCTTATTTTAAGATGGACAACGTGCTCATTGACGATCGTCGAATCCACGTAGACTTTTCTCAGTCAGTTGCGAAAGTAAAATGGCGAGGAAAGGGTCGTGGAGTTGAAGGCTCCTTAAAAAATAGGGACTTTGATAATTTACGGGAACCGAGCTGGAAACAGGAAAGGGACAATCGAAAGCGAAACGGCGATGACCGCGATAACACTAAACGAATGAGCTCGACTGAACGCCGATTAGCACGAGAAGAGCGCCATCGGGAACAACACGATCGGGAACGCAAAGAAAAGCATAAATATGAACGGGATCATCATTCGAGTTATCACAGCCAGCATCGTAGGCAAGAACGACGTGTTGATGGAAATACCGCACGTCAACGCAGACGTTCACGTGAGCATTATCGGCAGTCACGTAGTCGTAGTGGAGAGCGAGTGAGAAAATATTCTCCTGACAGCCAACGACGCGATAAGCACTCTAAATCTACAGACAGAAGGCGAAATAACCCAGAGGAAACAAAGCAGCGACATTATGTTGATCACATTAGTAACGAAAAACAAGTGGATAAGAAACGACTGCCCGTAAGAAGTGACGACAGATCCAAGAAACCCAAATCAAAATCGAAATGCAGTAAAAGAGTAAGCACATCCACAAGTGATGACACCGATAGTTCTAGTAGTGAGTCTGAGACGGAATCATCTAGCACAGACACCAGTACTACCAGCAGCGATGAATCTAGTGATGCTTCCAATAAGAGAAGACGCCACGGACGTAAACGTAAAGTTTCAAAAAAGAAAAGCTCTAAAAGAAAGTCACATAAAAGAAGAAACAGACATAAGAAATAAAGGAATTTACTTAAGAATAATCTATCTTTAAATATTGTATTTAATAACATATGTATGTATGTAAGTTTATTTAGCACAAATATTACTTGGGATTGGTTGCTTTAACGCTCGAAGAATTTTCTCCCCCGCAGCAACCACCGGCAGGCCGTCTCTTGCGGTTGCGTGGAGTCAATTGTTCGATTGTTGCGTCTGGATTAAAAGGAACATTGTCCAAACGCGTGGTTTCTTCGGTGATGCGCAGCTCTAAAAGAGAATAAATACCACTTTGAAATTCGAATTGATCTACATAATAAATATGCCGACTTACGGTAAACGCCTTCCTTTTCCTGTACTGCTTGTACAACGTTTGTGCGCAATTCTTTGTTAACGTCATTCGCTAGTTTTATCATCTGAATTTTAAAGTAAGTTGAGTACCGTATATGTTAATGAAGTTAACTCCATATGTGCCTAACCTTTTTTATTTCCTCTTCATTTGATTCATTACGATTTTTTCTAAAATGTTCGTTTATTTCTTTGCGACCAGCTTCTAAAGTTTGTTTATCTCCTTGGAAGACGAATTGCCTGGTCCGATGCAAATTTTTAAATGCTCTTAGCGCCTAATGACAGCTCAAATTTTTAATGAAAAAACACGCTTCCCTAAAATATCTCCTCTTACCTCACGTCGCAGTTGTGCCATTTTTATTACTTAACTTAAAATTTTGGATTTGTGTAATCAATTTAATTTAGTGCTGCTTTTGAAATATTTGTCAATTCCTTGTCATAATAACACAGCTGATTGTACAGAATGTCAGATATGCACACGTTTTATGAAAGACTTAATTGTCTGTAATTATTTATCTTAAATTAATATTTTTTCCAAAATAACTATACTTTCTAAGATATTTAGCAGCTAGTTTATATGTATAACAAAACCTGTTTGAATCAAAATTAATTAAAACATTATAAAAATGCAATTTTAAACCTTCTTAACATATCGACTAATCATGTAATCCGATTTTGCACTTTCCTATTTTCGAGTCTCGAATCACAGCTGTCGGCCCGCATTTTTTTTACTGAATTCAATTGCTTCACGCCGTGGTCATTATAAAAAAGGTAGTTGATATAAAAAAAAAAACCGGAAATATTGGTTTTGGTGTCTTTGCAGGTATATTTGGACGAACTGAGAGCTTTAATCAAGCTTTAATCACGCCCAACTTATATTCAAGACGACGCCAGCTGAAAAATAATTCTGGCTGCATATGCACATATAAGTGGATAAGTATGTCTGCGCTAGTATTTGTACTTAATTATTATTCAACAATCATGACAAAAAAGGTTAATAAACACTTGTTTAATTATGCATATCTGTAGGTAAGTGCCGGGTCTTAGAGTTATTAACGTTAACTGCAGCAGGGCGAAGTTGACTCTTGGAAATTTGTAATTTCATTGCACTTAAAATGAGCAAATACAACGCAAAGTATTTGGAAGACAAGTTAACCGACAAACTGGGAGCACAGTACGTAAAGGCAATCGACGAATCGGACGGTTGTGGTGGTAAATTTAGTGTTACAATTGTTTCAGAGGCATTCCGTGGTAAGACATTGCTGCAGAAACATCGCTTAGTTAACAGTGCACTTGCGGAGGAGCTAAAGGAGATACACGCATTCTCACAAAAGTCGTACACACCCGAAGAGTGGGAAAAGGTGCAGCAGACAATGCTTAAGCAATAATAAAAGCACCATATGCAACACAGTAAATATATATTTCTGCTAGCTTATAGCATCATTCAGTCAGTCAACAGCAACAGACGAAATTAGTAAACCGGAACGGCAACAATAGCGTACCTACTCGACAGAAAACGAAACGGAGTCAATTTAAACACGAACTATATAGTGCAGAAAGTGAAAGTATAGCTACTCTATAATTGTAAATGCGTAATAAACTGCGCAGGCGCTCAGTGCTTAAACCATTTACATTTTTAAACTGCAGGAAATAAAATACATAATCATCTAAAATATAAATGAAACAAGATTCAAATTGAAAGTACGATAATAGGCGAACTGCAAGCCAAAAGTCAAGTTGCCTTATTTGCATACAAATACGACTGCAATATTACTTAACACAAATCCAATTCATTCTTTGTGTTTGTGTGAGTAAACCAGTTGTCGGCTTACGAACACTGCTACAGATCGACTTATTTACACAAAGGTGTTCTTATTTCTGTAGCTATTGAATAAATAACGAATAAACTTAAGATTTCCAACTCACGTAAATTTAAAATGAAAAAATTTCAAGTTAATGCACCCGGCAAAGTTATACTCCATGGTGAACATGCCGTTGTCTACAGAAAACCTGCTTTAGCCGCCGCCGTGGGACTAACAACGAAATTGCAGTACCGCCCTCAACCGGATAATGGTGTTGCAGTGTTCAATTTAGATAGTTTGAATTGCACATTTGAAATTCAATTACAACAGTTCAATGATTTTGTTAACGATTTTCGTGTCAAGTATCCTGGTAGCAAAGTGGATTATACTGCAAAATTATTAGAGGAGGTGCGAGACGTTGTCACAAAGCAAGTGGAGGGAGCTCTTAGCAATTCTAACAAGCAACAAGCTCAAAAGGCTTTTTTGTCCATATATTATCTATTGACAGGTGCAGTTCTTTCGGCCCCGAATGCAGAACTTGCTCTACAATCCGGGTTTCAAGTGAATATCGACACAGAGATGAATATTGGATCTGGCCTAGGTAGCTCAGCCTCGTTTGGCGCAGTATTATCGGCAGCATTTCTACTTTTAACTGGCCATTTTGATGAGCAAACATACCTCAAAGTGGAAAATCAAGCTCTTATATCTCAGTGGGCCTTTGAAGCTGAGCGCATTATGCATGGTACTCCATCTGGCGTTGATAACACTGTGGTGACCTACGGAGGAATGCTGCGTTTCGTCAAAGGACAAGGCTTTCAATCTATTAATATACAGCGGCCGCTCAACATAATGCTGGTAGATAGTCGCATAAGCCGTAGTACTGCGGATATTGTTGCTAAAGTACGACACCTTTGGGAGACCTTTCCAAAGGTCGTGGATTCCATCTGGGATGCTTGTGAAGAAATTGTGACGACTGCCATACCACTTTATGAAAACTTTGGCAACGCGAAAGACGACAGCGAAAAGTTCGAGAAACTCGAAAGGTTGTTCCAAATCAACAATGATCTTCTTAAAGCTATCGGTGTTACACACCCCAAATTGGAGCAGATATTTGCGATTGCCTTCAAGCGTGGTTTCTTCAGCAAAATAACAGGAGCTGGGGCAGGAGGCTTTGCTATTGTGCTTCTGCCAGAAAATTTTGAAAGTAATCAGGTATATTGGAAATTGAAAGAAGAACTGGAGTCAGCTGGATTTGGTGTGCAATCTACCACTGCCGGTGGTGATGGCTTACGGATTAAGGCGCTGGAAGACTAATTTTCCACATATTTCTATGGTTAATAAACATGTGTACTAACATACAATACATTTATAATTTTATGATCTAAGTAAATATTAATTTTGTTTGCTTTTTCACATCGAAGGAATATATATGCACCTTAATATGTATGTATGTACATAAGTAATATTAAATTTTATACGCTGTGCTTTGTAATTAATAAAACACAACAATAAATCTGTTTTTGTATCATTTCATAATATATTATAATTCGAAAACTCAGTAAATCAACGTTGGCTAGTGTCTCTAGATCTGTAGGGAATGCCGCGACTTTTCATTTCGCGCAGCGTTGCTTGTGGGAGGTTGCCCGATACCGAGATGGCGTAGATGCCTCGCGTGAAACGTCCTGTAGAAGAGTTCAGACAGAATTTCATATTTTGAAACGCGATTAAAACATTTATTTTTAATTTAGAAGGCAAATGAATGTATGCAATACACGAAAATGCTATCACTGAATCCGAATAGTCTCGAACGTAGCATATCCCAGTGGGAATTAGGAGCACGTAATAATACCTTATTAGCAACTTACTCTTCACCTGGCAGTCATTACCATTTCCCTGCCGAACGTCCCTTACTTTTACAAAGGCATGGCCGCCTTATGTAAGTAGGAATTTAGAATGTACATTTGGTATCAGACATACTTCTGAGCCGCTTTACAAAGTAAGTTACTAGTAATGCAGAGCAGTCGCTCGGAGTAGTTCGGTGATTGGAAATAACTTCGGCTGCACGTTATTTTGCAACTGACAACGTAATGTGTCTTCGGAGGTGTTCATTTTGCCCTTTACTAGTAGATGACATTGGCCATGATGACAATTTTGGTACTAAAAACTGAAAGAAAACATGGCTTACCTCGCAAGGTGCTTACCTATTTTCCCAGTGGGATACTTTGAATACAAACTCAAGTTTCTTCCTACCGACTGTTATTGTTTTTTTTTTTTATCAAGTGTTGTTTTCGGGTATGCAGTCCAATGCTAAGAAAAATTTATTTTTTATTTTTTTGCCGACTTCTTCTTCAGGCCTCAAAAATGCATTTTTCTGTGTCTAGTTTCGGTTGTGATTAATTTCAACAAATAAACATAAACATTGACAACTGAAAGCTGTAGATACAAATTTACTTATTCACACATAAGAGGCAGGAAACGGTCGAAACGTCGGCAAAAAAATAAAAAAGGCATTTTTCTAAGCATTGGACTGCATACCCGAAAACAACATTTGAATACAAGCGTTCGCAGCATTCCGGACTCAGTGATCGCATTTTCGAAGATTTCACGAAATTTCGGACTACGATACAATAATTACATTGAAACTAGCTTGAGTCAATAGGAATGTATTGGTATATTTTACTGCAAGATTTAGATAGTTATGACTTTAACTTAGAATAATTACGATAACATGGTATCCAGATATCTAAACTTACCTATACGTTGCCATTTGGCTACCCAAGAATCTTCAGGACTCATCAGGGCAATAATACCATCGAAATTGTTACTTGTGTGGTCATATACATTATCCTTGTTGTTTTTCATTCGCAGAAACTCGTCACAATTGTCGCATCCATCACATTCGAATTGATCGAATGTCTTAAATTACAAAAAATTAAAGTTATTATTTTAGTTTTACTTTGCCGCAATGAAGACATACCTTAACAAGTGAACACACTAAACAAGCGCGGAGTCCTCGTAAATCTTTTGGTATTGTATCGAAAGACATCCTGAAACCGTATTAAATGCTATTGTATGGAGGAGTGAAAAATATTAAACTATTTGAGAAGTTTTCTTGTTTCTTGCCACGAAAAACCGTATTATAAACAAATAAACAAATGTGAATTTGACAGCAAATCATACTACCTTGCATTTTATACACCAGATGAGGTAAAGTTTTTAACACAGGGTGGCTGATGTAACGCAATAATTGTTGGCGCCAATGGCTTTGTTTCTTTTCTTTTCTTGCAGATAATTATCAGGAAAAAGAACGGCGAAATTGAGAGATTTACGCTCACAGAGAGCGAAATAAAGAAATAGTAAAGAAACGCAAAACTAGCTGAAACTAGCAAGTAAACAGCTGATCGATGTATTTGACTATTGAAAACATTTGGGGCGAATTTTTGTTTATCCATTTTGACAGCTGCTAGTTTCTGCTGGTAAAAATTTACTCTAAAAGCACCACAAACAATTATTTTGTTAATGTGAATTATATTAAGCATCATGCCATCAGCTGTTTTTCTTACTAGCAAATAGTTGCTAGTAAAAATTTATCCAGTAAAACTTGCAAGTTCAGCTGTCATTTTTGCTCTCTCAATTTCCACTCTTTTGCTAGTTTCTTGCAAGTTTTTGTGTACGAAAACGACATGAGAAAAAACCAGAAAATTAGTACTGGATTTACTGGATAGTGCGTACGCGAACAGGGCTTTTGTTACGTGGTGAAATTCACAGTAGTAATAACCAAAAAAAATAGAATAATCGATTAAACGGTTAACTGATTTATCGAAAGCATTAGACAAGTAATCACAATTAATCGTAGGAAATTAACCGATTATTCGGTCGTTTCGATTAAAATCGAGAATAAATAAAAACCATCTCATTTCATAAGTTATAAAAATTGACCGTTTTATTAAAGGATACATTTCTTGTGGTGGAAACTTACGCTATGATTCGGTGCGTAAACAACCGAGAAAACAATGAAAATGAAAAGTTGGAAAGTAGTAAACCAATACACCCCATGTCGAAATTATGAGCCCTTCCCACATTGGCAAGTTTTAGGAATTAAACTTTTTATTATTTAATTTTTATAAAAATGTGTGAATTTTTTAATAAAACGCGTATGAATCCAAATTCAACCTTTGTGTAATATTAAACAAATTCAACTAACATTCGTAAAAATATCCAGCTTTTTTATTAGATTCCTTAGAAAAATTTGGAGTATGCATTTCTATAGCCCATCCAATATTAGTATAGCAAAATGCAATTAATCGGTTAATCATTGGATTAGTCGAACAGAAAATTGCGATACAATTTAATCGTTAACCAAAAGAAAATAACCGATTAAAATCGATTTTTCGATTAATCATGCCATAACTAATTCACAGTGAATTTGTGACATTTTGTATCTGCCAACGAAAGCGCCAATATAGAATTTATGCAGAAATAAATGGTGGAAAATGTTCATTTTGGCCTAACAACAAAATTTTCGTGGTCCCAGTACAAAATTACTGCATTGCTATTTAATAAAATCATAAAAATCGTATTACATAGTGTGTAAAGATGTCGTTCTTCGGCGGAAGCACTTCACTGGGTGCAACAAGCACGCCCGCAAAACGTAAGTATATAAACATACAAATGTACATCATGCTAAGTTTAAACTAATATTCCGGCATATGTATGTATGTATGATAGATAGTTACAAAACATATCCACAAATCATACATAAGTGTAAAATTGTATAGTTTGTAGGTGCCACTAATTTTAAGTTCATGCAGCCTTTTGTAGATACTTTATTGGTCGGTCAGTTCTTGGAGGTGTCAGCAGGCGCTTGGCGTCATCCACGCTGTTTATACGAACCTCCTTTATATTGATGCTATAATAAATAAATATATTTATAGACATATCATCTATATTCTTCATTAGTTTTAAAATTGCATATTTACCCTTTTTTGTAAACTACATAACCAACATAAGCAATTGGTGCACACAGTGTGAGCAAGACTACTGATAAAATAACACTCATTACGAATCTATTCAATAGCTTTTGCGCCACTATCGCTTCGAAGCTTAGAAACAACACTGAGAATTTTTAGAATAAGCTTAGCTCTAAAGGAAATACTGATAAGCAATGTTTCAGCATATGCGCTATCTTTAAATTTTTACTCACTGCCTAATCTTTTCAAATATACTTTAAACCCTTATTACATTTTTAGCTGGTGGCATATTTTCGTCGTTCGGCACTGGCAGTGCGGCTGCTGCTCCAGCTTTCGGCACAGCGACATCAACCGCTGCACCGGCGTTTGGTACATCCGCTTTTGGCACTACAGGTAAAAATATCTTAATTCTATCTAATTGATTTAGATCAACTTAAAGAATGTTCTGTGCGCAGGTTTTGGCAGCGCTGCACCTTCATCTGCACCCTCTCTCTTCGGTGGTACTGCAACAGCTCCCAACACAACAGGATTCGGAGGTTTTGGTGCGACAACATCCACAGCACCTTCATTCGGCGGTTTCGGAACGACTGCCGCCACTAGTGGTTCGGGTTTTGGTGGATTTGGTGCCACATCAACAACAACAACAGCTCCGGCCTTTGGTGGATTCGGTACGCAAGCAAGTGCTTTCGGTGGTTTTGGTACCGGCGGGAGTACATTCGCTTCATGTATGTTCCTCATTTACACGTCAACAAAAAAGTGATATTTATTAAAAAGAACTTTTTAGCTTTTGGTAAACCTGCCGCT